ATCTCCATAATATTTAAAACCTAACGACAATTTGTGAAAAAGCCTTTGCTATCCGCTGGCAACGGAAATATGCTGGTCCCTGTGGAAAACGCAAGTATATTCAGTGGTCCATGTGGGCCTCTGAAGGACCCCTGAAGCGCACAGATGTATCCAGTCGCCACGGGCTTCGCGCTCATCAGCTGACTGCCGGCGAGCGGCCCAACGCGTCCTTGGCGAGTAACCTTGGAGCTGGTGACCGCACGGTGGAGCAGTGTGCGTCCTCCCCAGCGTCCCAGGTGCTCAGGGAGAGCATGGCCTTTGCATGGAAGCCGGTGGAGCTGTGCAGCAGTCCATCAGCAGTTTGCCGCGGCGGAAGTGGTCCCAATCTCGGCGGGGCCCCGGCTGCGCTGGGCTGGTGGGTCCTGCTCAGACGGACGCGGTCCATCACCAGCTGGTGGCCGTGCAAGACAGACAGAACACCGCCTCAGTCTGTGTGAGACTGTGGCTGTAATGTGATCTGTACTGTGTGCATATCAGACGCGTCGGTTGGTGGATAGGAAGCGTCAGGTTCGAATCCTCCGTTTTCTTCAGACGCCATCTATTTGCGGAGGAAATCTCGGAGTCGCCGGCCTGCTGGGGGGGGGGGGGGGGGGGGGGGGGGGGGGGGCTCCTGTCGACTTGGGCTCCCGTCAGCTCGGACTCCGGTCGGCTCGGGCTCCGGTCGGCTCAGGCCCCGGTCAGCTCAGGCTCCTGTCGGTCCAGAGTGCTGTCAGCACGCCAGCTGGAAGCTAAAGATACGGGCTCGTCACGTACATTTCATAGTAACACCTCGCTGATGAGGTAAAGAGCGCTGCTAACCACAACACTACTGCCTTTGCGATTGGGGTTCTCACTGGGCCACAGGGAAGTCTGGTTAATACAGAGCGTCGGCCGCACGCACAGATGCGCGAGATCCTGCGAAAAACACCTGAGCACCGGCAGCACTGGATGACACGTCGGTGTGATCTGAAATAATGGCCATCATGTGGTCCAGAGGTTGTTGTGATCAAAACAACTCACAGCTGCTGCCGCTGTTTTGCACGTTTTTGGTGTTAGGGACTGAAGGGCGATGACGCATTTGCAATCTGCATAGCATATGACTTATGATCCAATATTTTAAAACGTGGCTGGTGTGCCTTTGCTTCGGGTGGCCGATCTCGTATAAAGCCGCCCCGCCACAGGCACCATCACAGTCTGCCTGAGAAGTAAGGAGCCTGGACACAGACTAAGCAGTCGAGATGTACTGCGGTAGGTTGTTGTCAGCGGTGGTGACGGTCTGCCTGGTGAAGTCATGTGTCGCTGGACCAGCAGCCAGTCAGCTGCGGCGGCCGTTCGCCGCCTCGCCCGTCGAGTACCAGGCCACGAAGACACCATCTGACGATAGCTTGGCCGGTGAATGGAGCCAGTCCAAGGCGTCGGTGGACCTCGATCTCTACACGGACCAGCAGCTGACAGCCGACAGGGAGGAGTTTCAAGACGCGGCCGGCGGCGAGCTCGCTGGCGACAGCGTGAAGGAGCAGGGCTGGAGGATGCCGCCGCCGGGGAACCTGACCGTCATTGGCGGCGCGGCGGAGCAGGGCGCCGGCGCCCGAGACGACTCGCTCACCGGTCTCGACAGGCATCGCGGTCGAAGGCTGATCAGGTGCGGCCGCTTCATCCTCCGTCCGGGGCAATACGTCATCCAGTCCCCGAACCACCCGTCCAACTACCCCAACCGCTTCTACTGTCGTTACTACCTGCGCGCCACCCGCGGCAGGCGCATGCGAATGGTTTGTCCCCGGTTCCGACTGGAGTCGAGCTCCAACTGCCGGTATGACTACTTCTACGTGGCTGGAGCTGGCCGCCACTGCGGAAGACGCCGCCCCGCCGTCTTCAACGCCCGCTCTCTCTACATCGCGTTCAGAACGGACTACAGTATCACGCGCAGCGGCTACCGCTGCTTCATCTGGGCCTGAATGAGGGCTGGACTGTCGGCCGCTGGTGCCGGCGAGTCGCGGCAGTGGTGCGGCCGGCAGGGTCGGCCGCCCCGTCCCCCGAGCTGCTGGCATACGCAGACCCCCGACACCGGCTGGCTGGCGCAGCGTCCGGCTCAGCGCGGCCCGCCGCCGTTGCACCCGGCGAGCAGCGCCACCCGGCTGGTGTTGGGGTGTTCTGGGAGCGGCACCATCCGGAGAACCACTGCTGAAAACACCGACCCGCCCGAATCGGCAGTTTACAGAAGAGCCAACACCTAAATGAAGACTCGGCGATGAGGAGTTTAAGCGCTGTCGATTATGCTGGGCCGCCTATGGTTTGGGTTTGTTTTGTGTCATCAAGAGGGTCCAATAACTGTGTGATTGTTGGGCTCTCTTGACAAGGTTAGGCAAAGCATGAGAAATTGCTGCCATATTTGACTGACCGGAAGTGGGTTTGGGGAACTTTATCTGGATGGAGGTATTAAAAACGTCATATGGTGATGTCTTGTTTGGCTGATCGAAATACACGAAGCTTTGTGATCTTTGGATGGAGGTGTTTCCAAGCCATCACACACAAACGTGGGAGCCGCGCGCTTCAAACCCGTCTGCCCGTCGACTGCGTTACATCGAGCCTGTCTACACCAGCGGTGGTTTCAGTTTAGTTCCGCCCGCCCACGTTGTACTTTCGTATTTTTAGGCGAGCGCCCATATCACACTGATTTCTGGCCTACAGTTTCGGCATGGTCTTTATCGATATCCTGAAAATCTGCGGCGTTTGTTGGTCGACGCTCCACCACACCAGCTGCAGCAGGCAAGTCTTTGTCCGAAGTGTCCTGTAATCACCGAGGTTGCGATAATTGAAATCGACATGCGCGGGTTATTGTAGGTGCACAGGCTCTGTAATAAGAAGTTCCAACTTGCATCCGCCCAGTGTGGCCTATCAGAGAACTCGTGCTAGAACAAGAACATCCCGCTGAAGTAAGCGACCCAAAACATTCCTCAAAGCGCCGAAGCTTGCGTCCTTCGGAGGAGCCCATTTTCAGAGAAGCTAAATACGTAGCTGAGATAAGGTAGCTGTTAGGGATACGTTTTCTCTGCTTTTGGAATCGCAACATTTCTGGATCATTTGTCTTATCATCCTGTTTGTGAGCTGATCTCTACAACAGCCAGAAGAACAAGTCTTCATCCGGGTAAAGCCATAGTTTGTGCCGAATTAAAGGTGAAGTGGAATCGGATGGAAAGATCGCTTCATTGCGAAACGCGATTAATGTAACCCAGTCGAAATGCGAAGAGGTGTCGTCACACAGAACACTACTGTTGGGTCATTTAGAGAAATGGGCAGGTGGGGCAAAGCAAATCAAGGGCCAAAACACCTCACTTGTGATTAGCAGCACGCCTACATTTGTACGAATTCATTCTGAACGGCTCGCATGGCTAATAGCTGGCTTGAGGTTTGCATCCATTCACGATGGAGCACAATTGATTGCATGATTAACTTTTCTCCGCACGTCTTACCATGCACTTAGTGTATAAAGCCTTTTTTAGAGGTCACAGAAAGGTTTATTGGGCTAGCGCCCACTCCCAAAATATTACTGAGGTCCAGTTTTGTTTTGTGTCTTTAGCGTTCAAACACAAAAATAGTCAGATAGATCCAAATGTGACTAGGGTTCAACCGGAGCACAGCGGCCCCTGTGGGGCCTACACCTTTGGCCTAGGTACTTCTGGTTTTCCCAAACAGTGAAGCAGACATCGGTCTGTGAACAGCCTTTAAGAGCTGATATCATACCATAGAAAGCCTGAGAAGTGATGTGGATAGCCATGTCATGGACATATTCGCCATTCGATGCAAGAAATACACAAATTATGCCTTACTTTCATCACTTTGAATTTTTATCAGTAGCTGTTGTATTTTCATCTTGTGTACATGCATTGCTTACGATGCATTCATAGCTTTTATTTGGATGCATATTCAAGTCGGTGTGATCAGAACAGTGGGAGCTATGAAACACAGAAATTGGACAAAGCTGATTTATCCTTGCTTATGTGTTGCAGTAACTCCAAAAATTCTCGTCAACCCTGTGCAATTGTGAAAATGCGATAGTTTGGTAGCTACCAACTTTATTCGCTTCAATGTAGCGTGTGAAAGTGTAAAACTGTCTGTGACTTCGGTGAATTATCCGCGTTGCAATCCTTTAGTTCGGATTTGACTAGTTCTCCCATTAGTTATCATCGCAACGCATGACATTCGGTATATCTCCAAACGCCTTTTCTTTGTTCCTTTTCAGCAAGTCTTCCAGTTCACTCCGATAACTGCTAGGAGAACCACTTTTGTCATGTAATGAACGCTGCCGAACGCCTTCACGCACCGTAATCTCCCCGGATTCACTCGCACCATACCCTGTGCAGCAGTGGAAAAGGCTTTGAGGATCTCAGCGCCAGATATTGTGCGGCTGCCTGTACATAAGTAATATCAGTTATAGACATGGAGATATCAAGTCTTAACTGCCCTGCAGTCAGAAGCATCCAAAAATAAATGAAATGAAAGTCTGACACAAGGCGCCGTACGAGAACTGCTGCTGCACTGCGGTGCAGTATTAAACCCGGCGGCGCGGCTCAGGCTGGGAAAGACGAGTCCGCGCCCTCAGCATTGAACAGTGACCCTGCACTCTTCCACAGACAGCGACAACACGCCACCACACAATCGGAGCCTCCTCAAACACCGCCTATAGATAGCCGGCGCATCCGGCCAAACAAGGCGGGCGCCGTTCCATTCCGTTTACTCGGCGGCATCGCGCGAGCACAGCTGCGGTGAATTCGGCCCGACCAGTGAAGGGCCGGGTCACCGACGGGACACCCGGCCACCTCAGATGTTCGCCGCCCAGCCCCAAGGTCCGTCTATTTTCGCCGTCGTCGCGTCCGCATCGATCTTCATGGGCGGCGCCTGCGCCGACGCCGGCGCCGGCGCGGCCGGGGAGGGGGCGGCGCGCGCGGCGCCGGTGGTCGGGACGGGGCGGGGCCGGGGCGGACGGGCGCCGGGGTCGGGTCGCCGGCTCCGGTGGCCGACCGACGTCGATCAGCAGCTGACTGGGAGCCACGTCGTCAGGACGGGTGGGCACCGGCGGCCTGCCGCCCAGCCGAGCCGAGCCTCGAGGCCAGCGATGGACGGCCCCACTGCGCAGGTAAGCTGCGCCGCTCGCCGGCCAGGCGACCCTGCACGCTCCGCACTGGCGCCCAGCTCAGAAGATGTCGTTTGGAGGCGAGCAACTGCGCGTTCGAGATGCGGCCGAAGGTGTCTTATTCTTGAAACAGGCCGTCGATATGCTGGCGTGGTGAGCTGAACGAAGTTCAGTAATTCGTTACCAAGTGTCCTCATGGTGATGACGACACGACAAAGACATTATTATCGACCGAAAATGACCACCAACACCTTGATCTGTGTTTGTCCGCGTATGGACATTAGACACACCACTTGGTGGCGTATCTAAAAGGGTGACAGCGGCAGGGTGTCAGCAACTGCGCGAATATGCCATTCACGTGCCCTTCGCACTCAACGGGCAGCGACTATCTAATCCTGAAATCGATGGACACCATGACACCATGTGTATATTAGTAGAAAACATGCATGGCAGTGGCGATCTGCTCACGCCAGATTCAAGGCCGGTTCGCGGCGTGAGGAGAGGACCCGCCGGTACCGTCGGCGCCGCCGCACCGCGCACGTGAGCGCCGTGCGCCACCAGCCGACCGGCAGGGCGACGGCCGGCCGGCCGGTCAGCTCCGATCAAGCCGTCTGATCGGTCAACACTTGACAAGTAGCACACGGCGGGCAGATTGGGAGGCGACGGGCACTGCATGGCCGGAGAGCGGCCCAGGTCCTCGAGATAGTGTCGCGCCCGATAGCTGAAACGCTTGAACCCACCTGAAACCGGTCACTCGCCGTGCTCACGCTAGGACGCCCCCAGTCGTAGTGTGAGGCGCGCGCTCGGCCGTCTGAGGAGGAAGACAGACGCAGTCGACCCTGCACTGTCCAGCTGCCGCCGGGGCTGTGAGTAACGCTATGCATAAGCTTGCACAGTTTATTGTCTTAGGTGTATCGCATTGGCCATTGGTGTTTCAAGTGGGATTATGTTCTCAACTGAACAAAGCAATAAAACACAATCCTCCTTGCACAGTACTTAGATCGTGCTGAATTTACAATCTTCGAGGCTAGATTACACTTGAAAGTAAAAGCAACTGACGCACCCTTTGATGAGTGGATAGGTACGGGTTTTGATTCCCCGCGGTGCCCACCCTCCCTGCCAGGTTGAGAGGCAAGCGACGCCACATAGCTTCAGCGACAGAGCGTGTCGTAAAGCCCAATGCCACACACACCTGAGTGGGCTGATAGACTTCGAGTTCCAATCGTTTCGGGTTTTCGCCATGCATGACGAGCTATATTGCCGCCTTAACATGACATCGACACTGACATCATCGCTGACAAGGCACTGTGATTCCTCCTTTTCAAAGCACGAACGCCCTACTGCGGACTCGCTGAGTCGGAATGTCGTAAATGCACACTTGCCGTGACACTTGTGGATTCCTTTAGCGGGGGCTGCCGAGCCGGCGACATCCAGGGGCGACGCTCACAGCTGCTGCCCCGCGCGGTCGCGTCGCGCCCCTGACAGCCGCACTTGCCGACGCCCCGCCGGGGAGAACGCGTTCGAAAAAAGGCACGTTTCTGGTGCTTATCTTTTCCCCGGGATACACTTGAAGCGTACACGGGGATACACCCAAGGTTTAGTCAGACAACTGTCGGTTTCACGACTGTAAGGATTTCATTGACATTCCATGATTTGAACGATTAGCGGTCGTAATAATTATGGTCAGTGGGTTAGCGGCAGAGGAAAGTGGCGCATGTCCTGCTTATTTCGCAACACCATTTGGTCTCTTTGCAGCACAACAAACCTGAATTTACACCCGTCCTACCCTTTCAAATTGTTAAGTGTCAGCGCATTCGCCGCAGGGAGCGGTCATGTTCAGCTGGCTGGCGCGGGCTGGACTGGCGGGCCCACTGATTCGCGTTAGAACCTTCTTGACATTACCTCAACCCGCCCTCCAGAATCTGACACGCCCTGTCCCACCCCGCCCACCAGAATCTGACACGCCCTGTCCCACCCCGCCCACCAGAATCTGACGCGCCCTGTCCCACCCCACCCACCAGAATCTGACACGCCCTGTCCCACCCCGCCCACCAGAATCTGACGCGCCCTGTCCCAACCTGCCCGCCAGAACATCGTGAACATGTCGTCGGAAGTGATTCTGGTGACCGGCGGTGCTGGCTTCGTCGGGTCACACACAGTGCTCGAGCTTCTCAACGCCAATTGGAGCGTCGTGGTGATCGACAATCTCGTTAACGCTGCCAAAGGTATGCTCCTTTTCTAGATTTGTTCTTTACTGCAATGCACTGTACTGGAAAGTGTTGTCAGTCATTTTACGTTTTATTTTGAGACCAACAGTGGAATGTAGCTCCGAGTCCTGTTGCGAATGAAATAATTGTTGGGTTGCAATGGTGTGTAAGTGTTGTAAAAATGAACAGCAAACTCATTGCATTGCAGTCATGTTTATTTTTTTGACCATGTGCATTGTCAGAGCACTATTGGGTGCCGTTATACCATGATACATAGTTTATGTATCTACTACATTTGATAGGATCGTTTCTTTCTAGAAAGGACGACTGTGTACAGGTCGTAAATGTACTGTCTGCGTATGCAGAAGGGAGAGTGTCGTACACTGGACTGAATGGAATGAGTGCCTGGGTTCAAAATACTCCCGGCATAAACTCTTCACCATCCGCCAGGTGGCTCCAAGCCGGCCAGCCTGGAGCGGGTGGAGAAGTTAACTGGCAAGAAGGTCGAGTTTCACGAGGCAAACCTCCTGGACCGATCAGCTCTCACCAGGGTCTTCAAGCTGGTGAGACAGGGTGCCCAGCATGGATATACCGGAGATGACAATCAGTGGTGAAAGGGGCGCCTCAGCACCCACATTATGATTATAACAAAACACCCGGGACATGCAAATGCTTCAAGGATATCTTGCCAGGTTAAAATATGATGGCAACGCTCCTTAATTAACGTTTTAAGTTCCGGGAAACATCTTCAGGTCCCTTCTCTCTTCAGTCGCCACTTCATTCTTAATCCTCATAACGCCCAGATAAGATGCCCCAGGTCTCTCTAGGGCTGCAGGACATACTGCGGCCGTCAGCCACGAGCCGGCTTAAGTGACGCCCTGGCGGGAGCCCCGCCCGAGCGCCCGCACAAACCCCAGAGGACGGTCCCTGCGCGGGGTTAGTAGTTAGGGTTAGCAGTGGGCCACGAAGGTCATGGTATTGTCCCGCCACCTACCTTCCTACTCAATCATATAGCCCCAGAACGACAATTGCTGGTCAAGAGGGCCTTAATCCGAGCCAAAGAAAACAAAAGCAAAGTTTGTTAAAAGTAATTAGCCCGACACTTTTATTTGCCGGTAATGGACAAGTGCTCTGTGGTGTCGCAGTGCCGCTCAAGTAACCCAACCTTGGAAACGCACAGCAAACAGGCGTGCCCACATAATCCGAACGTATTCGGGGCAGGAGTGGGAGTAGAAAAGCACCCGAAACTGACGCGACCAATGCCCATTTGGAAGTCGATATCTCCATGCATCGCCATGGGATTGATGTTAAATATACCCGAAACGTTTGGGGCACGTCCTCCTACCTCTATCGTGACCGCCTGTTTCAGTACACCATCCACACAGTCATTCACTTCGCCGCTCTGAAGGCCGTGGGCGAGTCAGTAGAGAAACCTCTAGAATACTACAAGAACAACATAAACGGCACTACCACGCTGCTCGAGGTGAGCGAAACGTCTTGGGCATGCAAATACTTGGTAACTTTGATAGAGACATGAGCTCGTTAGTGTTTTATTTTGCCACTTTTTAGCATTCTTGGCTTGTCGACTATTTCCACACCGTAGGATATGACGCTTACACCAATACGTAACATGTTCACATTGCACTGATGTCGAATTTATTGAGCCGTACGTGACTAGTTTAATTGTGCCACTAGATGTTATTAGATAAGATATAATGTTACATGATGGCGCTGAGCAGTGACCCCGTGACCTGTAGTCCAGTGACCTGACCTGCTCGTGGCCGCCGGCAGGTGATGAGGGAGAAGGGCGTCAAGTCGCTGATATTCTCGTCGTCTGCCACTGTGTACGGCTGTCCCAAGTACCTCCCGGTCGACGAGAAACACCCCACCGGCGTGGCCATCACAAACCCGTACGGCCGCACCAAGTACTTCGTGGAGGAGATACTCAAGGACCTGTGCGCTGCCGAAAAGGTGGGCGAATCTGCGGCCACGGTGCCCGGGTCCACGTCGCCAACCGGTCTGTGTGGGGTCGGGGTGCGTGGAGACCTCGGGCAGCCGTTGGGAGCCTTGTCGCCAGCACGGCCGACCCGCCGACCTGGCCCGCTCCGCCGTCTATCGGGTGTGCCGCGCTGCCGCAGGACTGGAGCGTCACGCTGCTGCGCTACTTCAACCCAGTGGGCGCCCACGAGTCGGGGGACATCGGCGAGGACCCGAACGGGCCGCCCAACAACCTGATGCCGTACGTGTCTCAGGTGGCCGTGGGCCGCCGGCCGCAGCTGCAGGTGTTTGGCGGCGACTACGACACGCCAGACGGCACAGGTAGGCAGGCGTCGGCCGCGCACACAGGGGCCTGGGGTCGCCTGAAGGGCCGGTGGGTGTCATGACATCAGTACTACTCAAGTACTACAGTACTACAGTACTACTCACGTACATCAGTACTACAGCAGCTCTTGCCTACAGGTGTGCTACGATATCAGTTTTACACGACATTACTTCAGCTGCCAAAACACATACACTACGTGAGTGCTATACGACAAACTTATGCTGCAAAAACTTTATCAGGCATTTCTTTTACAGCATAAATCTTTGAAGTAAAATTAATGCCGTATATACGCAATGGCTGTATAAGCTTTTGCAGTAGACGCAATGCCTGGTATAAGTTTTTAAAGCATAACTAATGTCGCGTATAGGTTTTTGCACCAAAAGTAAAGTCGCATAGAAGTAATGACTGCACATGTTTTGCAGTAGAAGTAATGACGAGTGTAAACTTTTGCAGTAACAGTTTTGTCGCGTGGCACTAATGTGTATTTGCATTGGCAACAGAATTAATGTCGTAGCACTCCTGTCGGTAGTTTTTGCTGTAGCACTAAAGTGGTGGAACCGGGCCGGTGATGGCCGCAAACGCAGCGGCGTGTGAGGTCACCCCAGAGTCGCTCCAGGGCGCAGCGTTGGGGCACAAACCTGCAGCGGTGTTCTGTATCTACATGGTGGGGGAGGGGGCAATGACGTATGCTGATGTCTTTGAGAACCATGCAAAAAGGGCGTACAACGAGCCGAGCTACGTAGCTCCCCTGCTTTATCAGACACGTCAAATGACAATCGGTACAGCACATCGACTGCCCAATACACCAGTTCCAAACTCATTTCCAGACCACCGGCATAAATGTGTTCCGGTCACGTAACTGCCTGACCTTGATCCGGAAATATGCTCGACAGGCGTGCGTGACTATCTGCACGTGGTGGACCTGGCCCGTGGCCACCTGGCAGCGCTGCCCAAGGTGTCCATACCGGGCTGCCACATCTACAACCTTGGCACGGGCAGCGGCTACTCTGTTCTGCAGGTGATAGACGCTTTCCAAAGAGCCTCGCGACAGAAGATAAAATACCAGGTAAGATACATGCCAGGTGCCGTGATGCGCGTTTCATGTACGTTTTATCCTTGCACAAGTCCGTGCTTTTCGAAATAACAAAGCCGCTTTGCTTGATTGCGAGCCAATATAGGAAATTCATTTTTAGATTGAAGCCATTTGTCGACAGTTTACAATCCTCCCAGTTCTGAAGGTATGGAGCACTAATGAAGATTGCTATCGCGATTTTAAATGATAGCCATCATGCGGTTTTGGGCAACGGTCTGCCGGGATAAGAGGGTGGGTTACCAGTGAAAGTCAACCAAACCCAGCAGTCTGCAGTTGTGCTGGCAGCCCATAGTCACAGGCGTTTCGGTGACCCAACGACACATTCTTCCTCAATGTTTAACAGGATTGGCTGTTCGGTTTCGGTTTCGATAAGCGACGCCTGGTTGTGAACACAGCAGACGGCGAACCGTTCCGTATCAATTTTATCCCGTCTCTCGCGACTCAGCTCATGCATGTTTACATTCAGGTAGTAACGTATCGATTGGAAAGCCTCTCTTTTTGTGACCAGCCTGCCTCGGGATAGCCCGAGCTGTGCCAGGGTCTCTGATCGTGGACGGCGCGTCCGCTCGTTGCCGTGTCGCGCTGCGACCATGTCCGCTGCCCGCCCGGGACCGAGGGCTGACGCGCCGCGCCGCGCCGCTCCGCAGGTGGTGGCTCGACGACCAGGCGATGTGGCCTCTCTGTACGCCGACTGCTCGCTCGCCGAGCGCGAGCTCGGCTGGCGCGCCCAGCTGTCGCTCGACGACATGTGCGCCTCCGCCTGGCGGTGGCAGCAGAAGAACAAGTACGGCTTCTCGCCACCGCCCGATGGTGGCGCTGATCACTGAGGCGGCCGCCGCTGGCTGACGGCCAGCGCGCGGGGCAGCCTCTCCGGGTTCGCCACCATCAGCTAGTGATGAGCGCCTAGAGCCGCACAACCCATGTCGAGCATATCGCCGATGACGACCTTCCGGCGGCCTCGTGGCTTACAGTGTTGTCACTTGAACGGTGTACAACTGATCATCAGTCCCGAGCTATGGGTGGCGGAATGCCTGTAGACACTGCACAGCAGGGACCAGTGGCCTGAAACATGCATAGCTAGTGTAGACAGACCGTGTGTTGCATATGAAACCATCCTTTAAGGCGGTTTTTATCAAGCCACTCGTGTATATTCCCACAGTGCAGGGCACTACAGCGCGCGGTGCAGTGTGAATTGTTAGAGGCTGGTAGCCCATCCAGCCGGGAATCGTGTAGCCCTAGAAGGGTTGATTTGCTGCCATGCCGACCAGTGCTGACTTTAACGTGATCACAGCGCCGTCACAGTTGAAGCTGCCTCTCAGCGGTAATGGACGATCGGGCGTTGGTGCTGCGTCGAGGCCTTATCGTGCAACATGCAAATATACCTCAACGAGGAAGTTTGTCCAACTTTGACACCGTGAAAGTATTGTCGTGTTAAGTGCATGGTAGGTGGTGGACGTGTGCATAGAGTTAGGCGCGATTTAATGGTGATCAAAGCGAGTATTTCGCCAAGGTGAATGCTCACACGTGTTCCAGATGCGAACGAATATAAAGGCGCGGTGCTGTTGTCATTTTGTGTGAAAACACATAGGTGTGTGTCTGTCATTGGGGCTGACGACGCACTCAGCTGCTGCGGCTACATGGCGTCACCTGCCGCTCGCCCTGCCAGGAAGGGTGGGTATCTCGGGGAATCGAACTCCGCGTCTCTGGTTTTCCAGACGCGCAGTGGCTGACGCGGACCCGTTAGCTGCTGCACTGCCCGCCCCCCGAAAACACATGCAAATATCATAATTTAAGCTAAAAACAAGCTCGATATGACGTCATAACGCACTTGACGCCACCCTGATGTACAGCTACAGCCCGCGGCGGGTCGACCACGTGACTCGCCCCAGGAACGGACTGGGTCTCCAGTGTGACGGTGCACATGCACATGAAGCGCACGGTGGTGCACATGAAGCGCACCGTCGCGTGCAGGGAAACACAGCAGACGAGCCCAACATCGCCCTCCCAGTTTATAACTGCCTCGTACTGCGTATCCGCGATTGGTTCCATTTTGCTGCATCTGTCATTTGTGATGCATGAAATGGCTTGGATCACAAGTGCAATGCAAATGTGCCCTTTCGATCGATCGAGCCCTTTTTCATTTAAATAGCTACGGCGCAACGTTGTGACAGGCTGGGTAGTAAACCGACGGCCGACTGGGTAGTGGGTAGCGTGATAGGCTGGGTAGTTGTGACGACCATATTGACTGGGTAGTAAACGTGTGAACCAGTCAAATCATTCTCTCTCATTCTTGCCCGCTGCGGCACCGGTGCACGAGCGATCACCTGGTCTTACTCCAAACGCTGTCCCTCATCGCGAACCAATTGTGAAACTCCGCATTCAGTCCAGTATCTTCGTCATGGTGATCAATGTGGGAGATGCAAACTATGCGCATGCAGAGCGTTATGAACAGTATACATGTTCTCATGAACATCTCATAAATTAGAAGGTAGGCGTCTAGGTAAGCACCCATTCGTGGGCTAAATATTCCAACAGAATTTTGGCGTAGACCGAAGGTGAGGCACAATATGTCTTTCGAAATCACGAACCGTTGTAGAATGCGGACGTAATATATTGAAAGTTCAGACGAGTAACATATCTCGTTATTACAAAATCAAGGCAAAAGCAAGCTTTCAGGCACCGACCATTACCTACACCTTACTGCCAAAACCCTTCACAATGGTTCTTTTATACATAATAAGGACACAGCCAATCAACCATCTAACAAACCACCACAACCTATTAACTAGTCATTGACACGTGGCGGGTGGCCAAAGCAGTACCCTGAAATACAGCCACAGCAGTGTGCATCGTTATCAAAAAGGCTCAAAAACATAGCCTCATTTAAGGCAGATTCGTCTGACCAAATGCCCACCGGATTTTGCACCCCATACTCGGAGCGTGCCCATGTTAAGGCCACGTACGATCCGAGGCATCACAAAGTTAGCCCACAATGGCCCAGCTGCCTTAGGGATTTCAGTTCTGACAAGGACACATGTTTCCCACTGGTGTACACCACCGATCTCACAACAGCACTGGGACAGCAAAAATAATTCCTTCCTTGGACGAAGCCCTAGTGCCATCAAATGACCAAACCGCCCGGGCCAAAAACAATTGTCATTCAGTGGTCAGTTCTCTGGATCGCCGTGTACAAAGTACAAAGGGGTCACAGCGGCGCGGCGCCACGAATATTGCGCAGTCGGTGGTGTGACCTTACGATGCCCCGGGCAACAACACACGGGCCTCACGTCAGTGGTGCACATCCACTGACGTGATCGCCGCGAAGAGATCCCGCGCCCGGTGTCGTGAGCACAGCCGGACGTTCAGGCCCCCACACGGCGGTGGCGAGCGGGCCGGGCGCACCCCGGGGCTGGCGCCCGGCCCGCTGTGCCGACCGTCGGGTCAGTCGCTCCGCGGCGGCGGCGTCTTCAGCAGGCCGCGGCGGCGCAGCGAGCGCACGATGAAGGGCGTGCAGGCGAGCGTGGTGGCGATCCGGGCCGGCGCGAACACCTTGTGCACGGCGTAGGCGAGCACGAACGTGCTGCCGCCCGTCACCAGCTTGCTCTGCGCCAGACTGTCGCCGAGGCCGACCCAGCGCAGCAGGCCGACCACGTCCAGACCGCTGCCGGGCAGAGCGGCGCACCGCCGTCAGTACGGGCAACACGCTCCGGCACGCAGGGGTGGAGGCTGCAGGGACACGCTCCGGGCCACTGGCTGGCGAAGGCAGGCGGAGACGGAGACACCGGCTCCACACCGCTGGCGGTCGCAGAACGCAGCTGCGGTCAGGGGAAACTGACTCCGATCGACGGTGGGCACAGAGAGGGGCTGTGGTCACGAGCGACAGGCTCCCGAAACAGTGACACGACACTGGGGGCTGCCGTCAGGAGGAAAGCAGAATATTCCGGACCAATAGTGACCAAAGATAGAAACTACAGCAGGCTCCAAGCATCTGGTGAACATGGCGATAAACTGGGGTCGGGGAACAGGCTACGGAAAATGACGAGATTTGGTGTCGAGACAAGCAGACAAACGTAACCCGCACGCCTTACGCAGCACGGGACGAGCGAAAAGACAACATATGCGAGAGTCACTGGTTGCCATCGTGTACATGCCAGACACTGAGCCCATGGGCCTAGACACATTAAGCAGATGATACCATTGTGCTAGCTCCCTGCTCCGGAAAATACATTTCCTTCGAGCCTTGACATGCGCAGGTCCATAGATGTAGTATTCACACGCGAAATCATAACGACTTACCGCTTGAAAAATGCTTGTTTATAATTACAGCCAGGCTCAACAAATTCAATCGACAAATATGGATTTGCAATGATTTACGGTTGTGACCCTTGCGACCAAAAATTTGCGACAAACACGCAAAAAATTGGACGCCTATTGACCGCAACGACTTAAGCGTCCCTGTTGCCTTAATGACCTCCCTCGGTTTACACCACAGCATTACATTCGAGCTGGATCTCAAACACAACGACATTGGTTGCTTCTCCGCTCGATGGCTGACCCGTTAGTGAGCTGTGACCGGCAGATTAGCCCACACTCATCTGTATTCAATGCACGGGGTGCACACTGTGCATTGGCCTCCTGTCACCGTCAGCTATGTTTGTTGAGATCTGACAGGAATCCTCAAGCCCCCCCCCCCCAAAAAAAACCGGACAGCTCATGGTTTACGCACGACAGCACGTGTACGTGCACGTGCTGCACTGCACACATCGATCCACACCTTCGACGGAACCACTGTCCGTTTTCTTCTACTTCAGAATTGGATAATATCGTGCCACTGCAACACTGACTCGGCGAGGTCTGAATCCATCTTCGACACGTGTCCTTCAACTATTTTGCAACTAGAAAATCACCTTGTCCATGTTAAACGAGCTCGAGCGTGGGACGGGGAACAATTTGGCCCCAGCCCCTAACGTTTTTACCGAATAACCTCAGAACAGAGCGCCGTAGCCACGCCCAACACCGTACAACTGTGGACTATTCGTGTCCGATCATTTGGTATGACAAAAGAGATACGCTAAAGGTCGCTGACCTGTAGCGGGACAAAATAAAGTCATGGATGTCAGCGAAGGCAATTCCGAAGACAGCTCCCCAGCTGATGATGCAATTAAATATTGCAATACACGTTTGAGAAGGTTTCTCCGGTAATTACCTGATAGAAATTAGGATCCTGACTTACATTAACCTCGGGTTATACATGAAGGCTCAACAAATGCCAAAACTAACCCGCCATTTACGGAGAGACTTCATGTAAGCGGTCGCTGCAAGAGGCAGTTTTCGACGCCACTTTGTAACTCCTTTATCACAAGAACCTCAAGATTCCTTATTTTTGACGTCATTAAAGTCCGAGGAGGATACTGTCCTAAAATGGTCTGAATGGACCAATCTTTTCCTTTCAGGACCATTTCTTAACGCTGATTGCACATTCAAATATCAAAATAATCTCAAAAGATTCAGGCCATTTTGACGTGATGAAGATGCAAAGTCGTGGTGATAATGCAACGCTGCAGGGAAAAACAGATCAGTCGATTTGTAGCAAATGCCTGACAACCTACACGTGCAAACTTTTCCATAATAGCGCTTATTATTCCTGAAAGCTGCATAAACATGCGATCTGCGGCCGCACACTACATAACTGACCGGACAAAATGACATCTTTGATGTTTGTAGGATCGAAATGTCCCAGGTAGCATGACACCACGCTATAATGTAATGTGTAACATGGAAAGACTTTTTCGGGCAGAATGTTTCAAGGTCACCTTGACATTCATGGCGTCATAATAACGTCATTCAAACTCTACCATTTCAAAAACCATGTGGCGGTCAAAGGAAATAAAAATGTAATGGCCGAGGGAATTACATCTGGCGTTCGTGAGCGCGGTTTCCAGGTAAGACGGCCGTCAGTTGGCTCTGAACCAATGTTGTGAAAGGTACGATGACGTAACCAACTTATGACGTATCGAGCAGCATACATATTAAACAGAAGAATTGCTTTGTGTATAGCAGTCTTCCCCACCCAAAAATATTCCATCAGTTAAAGGTGAGCTTCTTCATCATGTGTCATGCTTGCTTCGACATCTTCAAATGTGAAACAATATCTCTATAGGGAATGCTCCACATTTATACGGGGTTTTGAAATGAAATGGCCATTTTGAAGACCCCTCGGTGCTGTTCACAACGCTTCTTAAGACCTAAGGCCCCCTAGTTTCCGAGCAGCACGCCGCGAAAATGGGGAGAGCATTTCTAAAAGAGTATTTATCACCTTGGCATTCATGACGTCATAATAACGCCATCCATATCCTGCCATTCCGTAAGCCATGAAGCGATCGAGGCCAAGAAAAAACATAACTGTCGATGCGTTCATTTCTGGTGTTTGTGGACACGATTTCCAGATACACGGCCGCTAGTTGGCTCTCAATAAATATTGTGCCAGGTATGATGACGTAATCAAACCATGACACATTGAGGAGCCTATTTACTGAATAAGGAATTGTGCTGTCTAGAATAGTCTTTTTTCACTTAAAAAGCATACACATAGTTAAAAAATGAGCTTGTCTCGTCATGCCTGATGCTTGCTTCCATATCTTCAAATATGAGACATGCCCTTTCAGTGGGCAGAGCGTTTCTGGCTGGTACCGGCAGACGATAGTTCTAACCTACACAAAAGCAGACAATTTAAAAAACGGCTTTAATGCGAAACGTGATCGATATAGCCCAGCCGAAATGGGAATACGTACGACTGTGCAGAGCATTACTGTTGACCGTATAACGGAGTGGTCACGTGGGGAAAAGTCAAAATAGGCCCGAGCATTTCACCGGTGATTATTTATAGCGGCACGGCTATATACGTATACATTCATCCTAAGCCGTTTGCACGCGCCACGGTTCGCTTGGGGTTTGCAGCCACTCACGATGGAGCATAATTGATTACATGATTAGGCTTCCTCCGAACGTCCCACGACACCAAAGTGTTAGAAACCTCTTTTAAGGTCTAGACATGTTGCGATCCCAAAAGCAGAACTCGTACCCCTAACAGCTGCCTTATCTCAGCAACGTTTTTACCTTCTCGTAAAGAGAGTTCCCCGGAAAGATGCCAGCTCCGGCGCTTTGGGAAGTGTCTTGGATCGCTCTGCTTCAGCAGGATGCACTTGTCCTAGTCCGAGTTTTCTAATAGGCCACACTGGGTGAATGCACGTTGGAACTTCTTACTACAGAGCCTGTGCACCTACAACAACCCGTGCATGTCGACTTCAATTATCGCAACCTCAGTGATTACAGCGCACCTCGGACAAAGACTTGCCTGCTGCAGCTGGTGTGGTGGAACGTCGGTCAACAAACGCCGCAGATTTTCAAGATATCGATAAGGACCATGCCGAAACTGCAGGCCAGAAATCAGTGTGATATGGACGCTCGCCTAAAAATACGAAAGTACAGTGAGGGCAGGCGGAACTAAACTGAAACCGCTGCTAGTTTAGTCAGGCCCGATATAACGCAGTCGACGGGCAGACAGGGTTGAAGCGCGCAGTTCACATGTCTGATGGCGAGCTTGACACCTCCATCCAGTCAAATGTCCCAAAGCTTCGTGTATTTCTATCGGCCAAATACAATGTCGGCTTCCGATATTTTAATGCCTCCATCCAGATAAATGTCCCCAAACCTAGTTTCGGTCATCCAAATATAACATCAAGTTCTGATGTTTGGCCTGCCCTACTCAAGAAGGCCCAATAATCACACAATTCCCGAACAAAAACACACAAAATAAACCCAAATCATAGGCGGCCCAGAATAATCGACAGCGCCCAGACTCCTAATCGCCGTGTCTTCATTTAGGTGTTGGCTCTCCTGTAAACTGCCGATTCGGGCGGGTCGGTGTTTGTAGCAGTGGTTCTCCGGATGGTGCCGCTCCCAGAACACCTCGACACCAGCCAGGTGGTGCTGCTCGCCGGGTGCAGCGGGAGCTAGCCGCGCTGGCACGCTGAGCAGGGCGGAGCCGGAAGCTGCGCCAGCCATCCGGTGTCGGGGGCCCGCGTGTGCCAGCAGCTCGGGGGACGGGGCGGCCGACCCCGCCGGCCGCATCACTGCCGCGACTCGCCGGCACCAGCGGCCGACCGTCCATCCCTCGTTCAGGCCCAGATCAGGCAGCGGTAGCCACTGCGCGTGATACTGGAGTCCGTTCTAAACGCGATGTAAACAGAGCGGGCGTTGAAGACGGCCGCCGGCCGGCGTCTTCCGCAGTAGCGGCCAGCTCCAGCCAGGAAGAAGTAGTCATACCGGCAGTAGGAGCTCGACTCCAGCAGAAACCGTGGACAAAACATTGTCATACGTCTTCCGCGGGTGGCGCGCAGGTAGTAACGACAGTAGAAGCGGTTGGGGTAGTTGGACGGGTGGTTCGGGGACTGGATGACGTATCGCCCCGGGCGGAGGATGAAGCGGCCGCACCTGATCAGCCTTCGACCGCGATGCCTGTCGAGACCGGTGACCGAGTCGTCTCGGGCGCCGGCGCCCTGCTCCGCCGCGCCGCCAATGACGGTCAGGTTCCCCGGCGGCGGCATCCTCCAGCCTTCAGCTCCTCCTTCAGCCTTCCTCCAGCCCTGCTCCTTCACGCTGTCGCCAGCGAGCTCGCCGCCGTCCGCGTCTTGAAACTCCTCCCTGTCGGCTGTCAGCTGCTGGTCCGTGTAGAAATCGAGGTCCATCGACGCCTTGGACTGGCTCCATTCACCGGCCAAGCTATCGTCAGATGGTGTCTTCGTGGCCTGGTACTCGACGGGCGAGGCGGCGAACGGCCGCCGCAGCTGACTGGCTGCTGGTCCAGCGACACATGACTTCACCAGGCAGACTGTCGCCACCGCCGACAACAACCTACCGCAGTACATCTCGACTACTTAGTCTGTGCCCAGGCTCCTTACTTCTCTTCGCCGCAGACTATGATGGTGCCTGTGGCGGGGCGGCTTTTATACGAGATCGGCCACCCGAAGCAAAGGCACATCAGCCACGTTTTAAAATATTGGATCATAAGTCATATACTACGCAGGTCGCAAATGCGTCATCGCCTTTGAGTCATAAGCATCAAAAACGTGCAAAACAGCGGCAGCAGCTGTGAGTTGTTTTGATCACAACAACCTCCGGACCATGCAATGGCCATTATTTCAGATCACACGGACGGGTCATCCAGTGCTGCCGGCGCCCAGACGTTTTTGCGCAGGACCTCGCGCATCTGTGCCTCCGACCGACACTGCGTATTAAGCAGACTTCCCTGTGGACCGATGAGAGCTAATCGCAAAGGCAGCGTTGTCGTTAGCAACGCCCTTTATCTAATCAGCGAGGTGTCACTATGAAATGTATGTGACGAGGCCATGACTTTAGCCGCCAGCCGGCGTGCCGACAGCACTGGACCGACCGGAGCCCGAGCCGGCCGAAGCCCGAGCCGGCCAGAGACCGAGCCGTCGGGAGCCCGACCCGACCGGAGCCCGAGCCAACCGAAGCACGAAACGAGCAGAGCCCAGCCAGCCGGAGTTCCCCGCAGGCCTGAGCCCGAGCCGACAAGAGCCCCGTCCCCCCCCCCCCTCCGCAGGTCGGAGTCCCGAGATTTCCTCCGCAAATGGCGTCTGAAGAATACGGAGGATTCGAACCTGACGCTTCCTATCCACCTACCGACGCGTCTGGTATGCACCCAATACAGATCGCATCATCGCCGCCGTCTCACACAGACTGAGGCGGTGTTCAGTCTGTCCTGCACGGTCACCAGCTGGAGATGGACCGCGTCCGTCTGAGCAGGACCCGCCAGCCCAGCGCAGCCGGGGCCCCGCCGAGACTGGGACCACTTCTGCCACAGCGCACCGCTGATGGACTACTGCACAGCTCCACCAGCTTCCATGCAAAGGCCATGCTCTCCCCGAGCACCTGGGACGCTGGGGAGGACGCACACTGCTCCACCGTGCGGTCACCAGCTCCAAGGTTACTCGCCAAGGACGCGTTGGGCCGCTCGCCGGCAGTCAGCTGATGAGCGCGAGGTCCGTAGCGATTGAATACATCTGTGCGTTTCAGGGGTCCTTCTTCAGAGGCCCACGTCGACCATCAAACATACTTGCGTTTTCCGCAGGGATCAGCGTGATCGTTTCCAGCGAATAACAGAAGCTTTTCCCGAAAACCAGCGAACTTCTGTTGAGTGACAGAAACAAAACAGGTTCCACAACAAGTTCCCTGGGTTAGCAGCTGTCAATATCAGCGGTTTCAATCAATAAGTCGGCCTAAATCACCTGTAAAAACAACTTTTACTATTCCCGCAGATTTTGTGTGACTTCTTCATCATCAATGTGGCCCAATACAGACGCTCCACAGCCATACAACGGTCCATATTCTGCCCTGTTGCCAACATATTCGACTTTATCGGAATTGAGTCCTTAACTCAGTAATTCTCCCTTGGCGCCGGAGCGGGCATGGGCTCAAGCTTGCACCGTGTTGTATGACGCCAGTCAGAGCCAACCCAACGCGACGTCAGTCTGATCCAGTGTAGACTCCGTTGGAGCGCAATCACGCCGAATCTGCCTCCGACAGCTCAGAACTCGCGTCAGACGTGTGGTCGTCCCTGCCCCACTTGACTGGCAGAGCAAACAAATGGCACGGAGCACCAAACACCATCCGTAGCCGTCACTAACGGAATTCCACAACGTGACGTCATCTTCTCACCATCACACGACGCCGAAGGATCCGATGCATGAGGACGGCATGGTGGATGAGCTGCACCTGGCCGTGAATTGGTGGTACCGTGGTCAGTGACGGCACACACACACTGCAGCGGCTGGTGTCCGCCGCTGGCCCCGTGTGCGACGGGCGTAGATGGGAGGGACGTACCACCGATACCCCCAACCGTCTGCACTTCTAGCCTCTTTTTGTTTTTGGCGGGAGTTCTCGGGCGAGTCGACAGCGAACGTTATCCTGCGTCAGAACCGGCCCCCCGACTAAGGCCGGTTAGTCTCGGGAGATCAAACGACTTGCGCTGTTGTTCCACGAAAGTCAGAAACAACCCAACACGATGCGAGTCTGATCCAGCACAGGTTCCGTCGGAGCGCAATCACGCACAAATCTGGATGGCCTTCTGCCTTCCCATTTTATACGTCTTTGAAATACTTATTCATTTTGCGTAAGCTGTCCACATCCTCGCGGCCTCAGGTTAATGCATAGTGACCTTAAAACTGGTACCACTGGCATTGTGTAACCAGGCGCACAATACGTGTGTGTATGTGTGTGTGTGGGGGGGGGGGGGGGGGAACTGAACAGTAAAAATGCAAAAGCTATCCCGAAAATATGTCAAAAAATGAACTTACCTGTATCTGGTCCACTTTCTTCTCAAAGTTAGTGTAGCCCGGGGCGGACGGGGAGGAGGGGGAGGGGCTGGAGACCAAGGTGAGGGGAGTAAGCCTACATCCCCTGTCATAATTCGCCGGTCCATAGCTCTGATGTAGCCAAGCTGGTATGTTCTGGTAAATTAGTGGTCATTTCAGTGCTGCGATCTGGCCCCATGGGGACGGGCCACCACTCACCTCTTCACAGCGAGATAGAAAAAGCCAAGCGAGGCCAATGAGATCGTGACATGGAACACGATCACGGTGCCTCCGTAGTCTCTGACGGCGAGCTTGAGCCGCTGGCGCTGGCTGGGGGTCGGCGGGTCAAGGTCGGGCCGCGGCACCGATGTGTGCAGGGCTGCCGAGGTCGGCGGCCACGGAGCGCCGGACACCGCGCGAGCGCCGGCCGGCGAAGCAACACCAGGCCGCGCGAGAGCAGGTGAAGTTCCTGTTACCAATCGTGCTGGCAGATGTCGCCCGCAGGCGAGGAGGCGCAGACCTGGAACAGTCATTACATATAAATCTGATGGGAAAATGTGTCAGAAAATTGAAACAAGCTAGGACTTAGACAATAGGTGAAAACCTACTGCAATTATGATGATTTATTTTTGGGGGTGCCTTTGCAGAAGAGGGCTTAACAAACACATCTAGCACACAAACACATGCCATGTATATGTTTTAGGTGGCCAAAGATGACTAATCATATCACTTACACAATGCAATTGTACAGGTACAAGTTAACATTGGATTAAAACAAGATTTAGACCTTCATGTTACATAGACCCCATGCACATGAAAAATAATCCTGCATGATTGAAAAATGATGCCTACAATGTTGGACCCAAAAATGGCACAGATAACCTTACAAAAACATCAGCAAATCAACACACTAGAAACAAACCTTTATTGATGGTGATATGATTCCTGACATTTTGGGAGCAAGGCAAAATGATCAAGGCACTCTTGCAGTAATGGCCTATGAGGGTGTGAAGTGCTTGTGCCATCATTGTGCTATGTTCTGATCAGATCTGGAAAGGATGTGGTAAAATGAGCATCAGACTAAATGCATTCCTCCTGCATTTTACTCCCTGTGCATTTGACTGCAAACAGCCATGCCCAGTCATTCTGCACAACACTGTTTTGTTTTACAAGGCATTGGAAACTGTGAATAAACTAGCTGAATTACAGTTGCAGGCAACATACCTGACATACATATGCCACAGGTTTTAAGACAGGTACAAAATAATGTAGCAGTCCAAGATGTAATCTATGCCACCATGGCATGGATGCCATTTCAGCCAAAAGTAGAAATGACAAGGAGTAAAGGGCTTAAATCTGGCATAATGAAGCATAAACAATTTAGGTCCTTGATTATCTGAAATGCAATTGTTCCTATTTAAGTAGCCTCCATACAGCATTACAGGTTCATCACATAAGAAGTATCACTCAGGAGTGGAAAATTGAAACAAAAATCATGTGAGAGAAGCAATCTACTCTTGCATGGATGTTTCTGCCAATATTCCCCCTGAACTTGGCAATACTAGATTTAGGTTCCATGTATACTTACAGCCTTGATATGGTAAATTGAGTCAATGGTCATGGCATACATTGCTACCTTAAGGGTGTGTGTCCAGCCAAATCTATTCCTGGACAGTGGACATTCCATCATTATTTTGGTGAAAGGCCGGATACTGTACGCGACTAAATACTGAAATCACTGCCTACTGCCCGCCCCAACGCTTTACTCAGAGATAGATTGGGACGATTCCTACGCACCTCTTCTACGCAGATGACCACACAATTCTTCTATGCGGCAAATGGGGTTATATGTGGTCAATGGGATTATATAACCACCTGCCTGACTTTCCATGCGTCCACTTGCACGAAATCGCGATTTCAGAAGAAAGCCGTGCTGTTCATAGGAAAACAACAGGCCTCGGCACACGTCATAGGACTTGTGAATTCAACGACAGTGTGTGTACGTCTCTTCACTCCAATGATTTCATCTAAGGTGGCACTTGAAAAGAAAAGTTTTCATGCTAGCGTCTATATTAAGTTCTCCATGTACGTCACTATCATGTTCTTCGTGCCTGTTTAACGACAGCGATTCTCATGAGTCAGGCAATCCCGAACCTTGTTGACCAATATTTGCAGTTGCCAGCTGATGTCTCTTCGGCTTTTCGCGTTTGGAGGCATTTTGTTGACTCTTCGTTGCTTTGACGTCATTGGTATATGTTTCAATCGGGAACTCCAGACACAACATGAACAGGCTGGCTATGCGTATTTTTGGTGATTCTGCACAATTTTATGTGCATAGTCGTACTTACGGACGTCCGGGTGAAGCTCGAAATCAACTCTGAATTCAACCAACTTTGTGGAGAAGTCGGGTTGGAATCGATACATTTTAAGTTTTTCTGGACTTTGAGTTGAAAGTTTGGTTTATTTCGACATTACCGATATAGTTAGGTCGTTTTTATGTCAGTCGTTATAACTGATACTTTTAAGCTACAGGATATATTCATAGTCTGACAGTTACATATCGCCCACCGTAAAGGTATCTCTCACCACCATTTATAATCTATGCTCACCACCGCCTGTGTCCGAGTCTTGCGCTATGCGGCTGTTTCGTGTTTTTGGGTGAGTTGAGTTTCGTGACGACCGTATACCTGCCTCGATGTGCGGAATTAAACTTTAAGCCTGCAGAATCGCATAGAAAGACGCCATGAAATTATCTAGAGCTCCGTTCCATGCTTATGAATATAATCTACGGCGGAGCTCCGGTGATGAGAAGCTGGTGACCATTGAAGAATGTTCTAGTGACGTCACTGTTTGGCCTTGGTCAAATTGTAAGTAAATCGCGTATGACTCCAGCTACTATTGCCATAATAGAACCTTGTTCGTGGTCGTTGGAGTCTCGAGTGGGGTGGTTTGGGCGGGCGGCTCTACGTCACCTATTGGGCAAGAATGGAGTGGAAAAGCAGCTTATTACTGGCTGCACTGTGTTATTTACATGTCAGTTGCATTGACGGTTATGTCGAGGCAGTTAGCGCAAACGTCGATGCGTCTCGGGCGCGGTCAGAAAAGCAGGTGGCCATGATCTGTGACAAAGGCGGCGCACGGTACCACAATCAATATATGGACGATACTGGGCACTGGATCACGGACTTGGAACACAATAAGGGATGCCTGAAAAGGAAAAGTGACATCTTGGAGTACTGTGGACTGGTTTACCCCGATTTCGACTTTGCCAGCGCTGTTGAGTCTACGCACTCTCACTTGATTGAAAACTGGTGCAAAGTTGGCCACAAAAAGTGCAAGGAGACACTGTGGGTAAAACCCTACAGGTGTCTGGCTGATGATGTCAGATCTGATTCTTTGTCTGTGCCTGACTCCTGCAGATTTGATCGGATTCTGAATGAATCACTGTGCTTGGACTTCAATGGCTGGAGCAGGGTCTCAAATCAGTCTTGCAAAGACTATGGTATGATACTGGATAGTGTCCTGACCCGTCAGCCATGTGGTACTGGAGTCTACAATGGGGTGGAGTTTGTCTGCTGTCCAGGAGGCAAAAAGAAGGCAAGTTCTCACTTTGGAAAAAAGTCTGCAGCACAGGCCCCAGCCTCAGAGATGTACACAGAAGAGATCACGTCAGAGCCTGACTCAGGTGATGAAGAAAGTACACGGGACCCCTACTTCACCAAGTTTGATCCTCGCATTGAGCATGATGCTTTCAAAGCTGCTGAAAGGAGACTTGAGACAGCACACCGCAGGAAGATCACCAAGATCATGAAGGAGTGGACTGAGTTGGAGGAGAGGTACCAAAAAATTAAAGACAAAAATCCCCAAAAAGCTGATAAGTTCAAGCTCAAAATGACAGAACGGTTCAATAGGATGATGAATGCTCTGAAAGATCAAGGATCTGCGGAGAAGCACCAGCTGATCGACCTTCACCAGCAGAGGATCATCGCTCACATCAATGAACGCAAGAAAGATGGCATGAAGTGTTTTGTCAAATCCTTGAATGAGCAGCCACCATCATCAGGCTCAGTGAGGAGATGTTTGAGCCACCTGGTCAGAGCCTTGTACAAAGACAGGCATCACACACATTTCCCATTACAACCACCTGGTCTTGACCAACCCCAGCAGCGCACAGGCCCAGCAGGCTGCCACTGTGGAGCACTTGCACGACATCCAGCGCATGGTAAATGAGAGTGTGCAAATGCTGGACCGCTACCCCGGACATCAAGGCTGCCATCCTGCCAGACATAACGCGACTGTCTATGGAACTGCGCGGACAGCAGTCCACTCCGGCTGAGCTGGTGTATCATGCCACCGACGCCGACGAGGAGACGCCCAGTGCGCCGGCCGCCACCAGCGCCGCGGACGCCTCCTGGACATCCGACAACGCCAACCGGATTGACATCGACGTGGAAGTGGAGCGGCGCCCGCAGGCGCTGGCCGAGCGGCGCCTGGAACCGGTCGTGGCCCACGTGCAGGCGCACGAGCACGTGCACGGCGAGGCGACGTACCGCGTGCTGGGTGCGGTGCCGGCGGCCGGCAGCGGCCGCAGCATGTACGTGACGGTGGCGCTGGCCAGCCTGGCGCTGACCGTGGCGCTGGTGGCCGGCGCCGTGGCGCTGCGCCGCCGCCAGCGCGCGCCCCACCGGCAGGGCTTCACAGAAGTGGACCAGGCGGTGACGCCCGAGGAGCGCCACCTGGCCCAGATGCAGGTCAACGGCTACGAAAACCCCACCTACCGGTACTTCGAGAGCAAGTAGACGGCGCCGCGCCGGCCCGCGGCCCCCGGTCGGCGCTGCTGGGCGGCGCAACCGCGGCTTACCACGTGTGGGCGCGCCAGGGCTGGCACCGCGTAGTGCTCGTCGCGTCGGTGTCCGCCGATTCCGTTCGGCGTTCGATGTCGAACTTGAGCCCTCGCTGTGTAGTGGCCACCGATGCGTCAGTAGAGCAGCAGAGAGCTACTGGTCACGTGCTAGCTAGCCAACCAACCATGTGTACGGCTATTAGGTCTATTTGTGCATAAGCTTTTCATGTAGTGTTGCTACTGCAGCTGGCAGCTGCTAGTGTGTATGTTGCATTCATTACGGACGTCTGGCAGTTTCGTCTTGACTAATCACCTTGCGCCAGAGCGTGCCATATTGTGTCATGTCGACGTGACCCTTTTACCGGCCTCTATTGACGTTAGGTGGAAGACTGACGAGATTAGTGAGGCTTTAACGGAGTTTGACGCGCCGTGTCGTATGTGGTAGCTAATTGACATTCCTACACGTTCTGTTGGGCACCAACTGCGATCTCGACTGCAGTATGTAAAGCTTTTAGGTGCCGCGGCCCAGGCTGCTCTCTTTTATAGTTTTACATTTGCTTTATTTCTTTTAAGATCGCGAGCCCTTTACGCTCGGCTTTGTTCAGGGTGCGGGTGAGGCGCACGTCGGGCTTCATCGGTTCGTGCTCCGCCCAAGAGCCCGTGCCGCTCGTGGTGGTATCGGTTCGCTCCGTCGTCAAGCGTCTATACTCGGTACTTCCCTTCGGCTCTGACTTGTAATAAACGCACCCAGTCAGCCGGCTGTGTAACGTCAGCCGCCGCTGCCGCCGCCGCCGTATCGACCGGCGCAGCCTGTCGTCGATGCGGCGCCCGGTGGGAGTGCCCCCTCCCCACTCCGACGCCACCCGGGCGTGGTGCGAGGACGTCACCTGTCTGACGTCATGGTGACTTAGCACAGTGCCTTGAGTCTCTGGAATTGCTCGGCCAGGTGGCATCTCTATTGGTTGCTTGGCCATGATACCGACCATGATAACCTGCGGAACTCCGTGAACGGTCCGGGCAGAAGAGATACCAGTTACTGTTGTGATCCATCATCGGCTCCGTTTAAAGCGTAAAAATTGCACAGCTCAACGGTCTGCAATCTCGCGGACGGATTAATCTCCAACTGTTGGCTGATTGTTGGCATTATTAGCAGATTGCAGCAATTCTGTCGTCTCGGGAATGCGCTTTGGTCGCTACGGTGATAGGCGTTTTCATTGCACTTCAGGTTATGGCACCAGACCGATTTTGATCAAGTGGTTTGGTCGCGCAAAACTCATTCAGTCAGGAAGCGATTACTCGAACTGGGATAGCATCAACGCTTTGACCCATCTAACCATTTGGTATTGCCTGCGAATAAACCCAAGAATGCCACTTTTTCCCGCTTCTTATACAATGCTCCTCTGAACAACGTGGCGCCGCAGCAACTACGTCACAACGGTTTGTAGAGGTCTTGAGCTTGAACTTAACGGATGACAGGGTGTAGGTGTACTTTCCTACCTAACGTTAGAAAAAATCATTTTATGCCATTTGTCGTGTTTAAGGCGGAACGTATCGTAAATAATCTCGAAACAGGTAGAATCACGCGCCTACCTTCAAATTTTAGTAGCTACCACGGCGAGCTCCCGAGCGCTGCACGCACCGCACCGCCTCGATTCCCCAGCGCCGTTTCTGCGTTGTCGTTGCGTAAATACAATATTGCTGCTTATGAAGAACCGTAAAAAGTGTACGAGACCAAGGTAACAATAATAATACAATGAAAATCGTTTCTTATTGCGTTTAGGTACGTTTATGAAACGCACAGGCCAGAATAATCCAGAACATAGCCTAAACTAGCCTAACCTAACCTAACCTAACCCAGCCTGACCTAACCTTACCTTACCATACCTTACCTTACCTTACCGTACCTAACCTAACCTAACCTAACATGGATTCTTGTTACCTTGGCCCCATACATTTTTATGGTTCTTGATGCTGATTGATGCGCAGTAATGTTGTGACCGCGCGCAGTAACGGCGCCGGGGTCGCGGTTCCTGCGTGTTTGCAGCGCTCGGGTGTTCTCTATCGTAATTATTTAAGTTCCAAGGTAAGAGTATATATTACATATTTTGCGATTACTTACGATATGTTCTGCCTTAAAAACGACGATTTATGTACAGTGCTCTTTTTTAACATGAGGTAGGAAAGTACACCCTGACCGATGACAGGGATTATATGTATCCATATATATCTAAAATGGGAGACGCTGTTTGACAATTGAAGAACTGACCTTTTGGGGGTCACTCGAGATAACTTAACTACCCGGTATTATGGGATGTTTGCTTAACTGACATCACTAGCAATAGCCTCATGATATTCGACTCAAACGTTTTAAAATACATTTTGTCTCAGCATTTTCATTGCATGGATTTCTCGGAGCAAGAGCCGCGCAAAGCAGCTTACCATCCCGCCACGAGTAGGCTGAGGGGCGGGTGCTATAATTAAATGAGCCACGGGGAACATGTTTCTAGAACATGCATGACTCATCGATGCTTCGTGATGTCATCGCCACTGCACGAAACCAGGACAGAAGGCTTCGCTACGAGGGCAAGCTTTTCAACGCAATGCATTAGCATGCGGTAAAATCCAACGAGTCCCTAGACTGAAGAAGAATAGTAATCAGCTGAGTGATAACCGTTGCTTATGCGGCGATTGGGACGATTGCGTCACTAGACTTTCAAGGTCGGGCTCGAGGCTATACATCCTGTTTCAGCCATATGCGTTCGTTGCCTTTGGATTCTTGTAGGGTCCATAGCGAGGGTGTTGTGGTGGGATCGCAGGCTGTTCTGGTGAATCGGTGGGATCTGGCTCCGGTCAGACTAAGGGCATCAGACATCGTTTTATTTCAGACTAAGGTTTGGAAAGTGATAAGGCCAATGGCATCTGACACTGAAAAGATATTACTGAAGCAGATCACGGATCTAACCAGTAAGTTGAATTACATGGACTTTGAAAACAGACATCAAGTGGACATGTCTGGCGTGGCAGTGACATCGTGGATATCACTTCCGTGCATGTTCGCTGCAAATTTGAGTGCTCAGAGTTTACTACACACTCCACCAATTTCAATACCGATATCCGAGGCTGCAAGACATTTTGTGGCTACCAAGGCAGTATCAAGCAAGAATATCCTGCACACATTTGCCAGCAAGTTCATGGAAAGGCCAGCACAATTTGGCCTGATTTATGTTTGGCAGTCATGAATGCAAGGTTCAGCACACCAATGTTGTGTTGGCATCTGATGTGGAAAATGGGCTTATCTTGTGCGCTGGCATGGGGTAATAGCCAGTCAGGCTGCTAACCCACCCACACACCTAAATCATTGTTTTTGTCAGGGAGCAAAGGACTATGAATAATATTTTGATCAATCAATTGCTGCAATCTCTTCATACTGGCAGATATCCTTGAAATTAGTCTTAGTATTGGTTGCTATTATTGGTATCTTGCCATCAGATAAATGGGTTGGTGTGGAAAAGCCTTAATATCTTATTGCATGCTGTGAGTTACCAGTAGCCAAAAGCATGGGCTTTGGGCATCTTCTCAGTTGCTTGGGTATTTGAATGGTACTGTTTCTTAAGTTTGAAAATCCTGCAAAATATGGAATCATATGCAAGTTTATTCTGTGAGTTTGATGATTCCAATTCCTAATGCTAGCATCCACATTGACTAATCACCACATATGCACATAATCACACATCTCTGTAAGTTTTTGGCTGTGTTATGAAATTTACTGGGCTGCATTTGGTTTCAGGGCAAATTGAAATGCAGAAAAGAAAGCAGCTTCATTTTCTACCAGGTAAAGGATACAACACCAGAAAACCAAGCAAGCACTGGGTTAGAAACTCCACTGGTGTAAGCAGACTCTCCACATCACTGAATAAAAGGTCACAGCACTGGCATAAACCAGGAAACTCCAGCGAATCTACCCTGCAACTGGCAGTTGGAGCTGCCAACGCAAACTCCTTGCCAGCATCCAAGAAGAAAATGCATTCTGCCAAAACTGAGGAAGTCTCTCCCTCTGTCAGCCAGCAGAAGGTCTCAAGTGTTTTTATGAATCCCAAGTTTGTTCCTGTGACAGTGACAGCAAGTGTCCACATAAACCCGAACTTTCGGCGCCCACCATCTGAACTGGCGTCGGCCGGCGCACCCGACCCGTCGCCGGCCGAGGATGGCGCCGCCAGTGGGTCGGCTCTCCCGGCCCCGGCCCTCTCCGTGCTGCCGGCGGGCTCCGGCGGCGGCGGGCTCGGCGCGCACCAGCCGACGGACGGGTCGGCCGCCGGCCCCAGTGGCCGGCCCGCCCGCCGCCGCTCGCGCTCCCTCTCCCGATACCGGCTGATCACGGCCAGGAAGCTTGTCCGCCGCGTCTCCAAGGATGTCAAAACGCCGCCGCCGTCGGCGCCGGCGCCGACGCTGCGCCGTCCGGCCGTCCACACCAGGCATAAGCTGGTGAGGGTAGCCTCCACACCGCGCGTGCAGCAGCTCGTCAGCAAACCCCCTCTGCAGAGCCCAGGTAAGGCGATCGCTGCGCACGGTCCCAGTATTGTCTTACTGGTGGCTTGTACTATCCAGAGTTGGGCAAAAAATTGTCTGACGCCGAAGCGCGCGAAAACTAAACATCATCGCCATCAATTCTTGTTTACAGTGGTGCTAAGGCCTTTGCATCTTCTTGTTCCCATGTACATCCATGTATATTTCTGACCACCCTTGTTGACCGTGGCCGCGGCCTTGGGCGGGTCTGCACCTCTAGACCGTGCGCTGGCCGCTGTCGCTGGCAGCGGTCAGCGCCGCGGCCGGCGTGCGGGTCTCACCGTCGAGGGAGGGGTCGGTGACCGCGTGTGGCTGTCTCCTCAGGCGGCCGGCGGTGGTCGGCAGCGGGAGCGCGGGTGCGGACCGGTCCGCCGCCGGCGCCCGGCGCGGCAGCCGCCAACCGCTTCCGCCTGGTGCGCACCGCCCCGAACGCCCCCCGGCCCGTCGCCTCCCAGCACAGGACGTGGCGGAGGCGCAGCGCCAGCGCGTCCAGCCCGCGCCTCGCGTGAGTTTACCGCTCGGCATTCAGAGGCAGTGTCTCGATGCCCAGCTGATGTGGCGCACGGCGTCTGGGTAGAGCTAGTTTAGATTGCTTGCGTTTTGCTAACATTGAGTGGAAAAATGTCACATATGGCGTATTCGATTTATAAAATATTTCTCGGCGGTGAATTGAGGGATTATTCGACGGTGACAGATTTGCCCAGCCACCGCGTTGCAGTCACAAGTTCTCTGAAAGGTTCCCTGGTTGAATCAGAAATGGTTTTTGGAAGTGCAAAATGATTTGTTGTGGGTACATTTTGGAATGGGATGGGCTTCCAAGACACAATTGGATGCGCACCGTTAAGTTCACGTCGGAGGTGATAACCTTTGACCGAATGGTGGGCGCCCGGGTGGTACTCGCGATGGCTGCTGCCAACCGATTGACGCTGAGCTCGGTTTGTCAGGAGCGGTGGGTCGCTCATGCTGGGATCGGTCCGGTTCGTCAACATCGGCGGGCTGCTGTACAAGTCGACGGTCCGGAAGCTGCAGAGAGCCGTCCCCCGGCCCAGCCGCCCCGCCCCCGAGCCGAGCAGAGGTAAGTGGCTGGCCATTGTGGTGACGCGCGCGGCTCTTGCCTGCTCTGAGCTAGCCATGAGTCATCGCCCCGGGTGCTGCTCGCGTATGTTGGCATTCCCAGTCGCAGTTCATGTCTAATACGGTGTATCGTCAAGACCAAGTTTCAGAAGTTCATGTTTACAATGTAGATTATGCTTCCTCTGCAAATGGCAAACAAGCCGGCTCTGTGTAAGGATTTTACCCTCTACGGCCAGTTCGCCAAAATTCTCATATCAGCGGGTCCAATCTCTGTGTCCGCTCCGGCACCCGCACTCAACGCCGCTGTATTACGAGTCCAGCATCGCTCCCCCGGACCGTGGGGTGCTGTCCCTGGAAACGTATGAAACTTTATCATTCAGAACATTCACATCCGTATGTTTTTGACTAAATGAACTGATATATATATATATATATATATATATATATAAAGATCGTAAAATAACGGCAGAAATAGGTTGTGTTGAGTCTGAGGTTTGAGTGGCGTCGCCGGGTGTGGATGTGTGCCGCCACCTGCCTGCGGCCGTCTGTGGTGACGGATGGGGCCGGTCGTCAGCGGCGGCGCCCGGCTGCATCAGCGTGCGGGGCGCCCGATATCGTGTGGAGGCGGGCGGCCGGCGCCTGCGCCGTCTCAGCCACGGCCCGCCGGCGCCGCCGCGGCTCGACATCGGCGGCCTCACCTTCCGGCGCGCTGACGACGGCACACTGCGGGCCGACGCCCAGCACCGGGCTCAGCGCGCCCTGCTCAGGTCAGACTCCCGACACTCGACTCCAGGTCCTCAGGGCAGGCTCCCGATACCCAACACCGGGCCCTCATATCAGACTCCCGACGCCCGACACCAGACTCTCAAGTCAGGCTCCCGACACCCAACAACCGGGCCCTCATGTCAGACTCCCGACACCCGACACCGGACCCTCAGCTCAGGCTCCCGAACCCGACACCAGACCCTCAGGTCAGGCTCCCGACACCCAACACCGGGTCCTCATGTCAGACTCCCGACACCCGACACCCGACACCAGGCCCTTAGCTCAGGCTCCCGACACCCAACTCCAGACCCTCAGGTCAGGCTCCTGACATCAGACACCGGACCCTCAGGTCAGACTCCCGACACCCAATACCGGACCCTCAGCTCAGGCTCCAGACATCAAACACCGGACCCTCAGGTCAGACTCCCGACACCCGACACCAGACCCTCAGGTCAGGCTCCCGACACCCAATGCCGGGCCCTCAGGTCAGGCTCCGGACACCCAATACCAGACCCTCAGGTCAGGACACCGGACCCTCATGTCAGACTCCCGACATCGGACCCTCAGGTCAGACTCCTGAAACCCAACACCGGGCCCTCAGGCCAGGCTCCCGAACCCAACAACGGTCCCTCAGGTCAGACTTCCTGACAACCGATACCGGACCTTCGTTCTGTCGGTCAATAGGTCGTCCGGGTTAGTATGACCAGATTCGCACCGCGCCTGTTCTCATTCTATTCAAACGCAAAGTTGTGCTGGATTTCAAATTTCCATGCTGGATTGGCATGGAGAAACTTGGGCGTCTATGTTATAAACGTCGGTGAACACTTAAGGAAATTGAGTAAATGTAGGAAGAATTTCGCTCGCCTGCTTTCAGGCGGCTGTGTTTGTGTTTCGTGCGTCATATCGTTCAAGTACCACGCTGATCACCTATTCATCCATAGCACACACCGAGTTCAGACGCCCTCCCCCTATCCATTGCTAGTCTGTGTTCACACGCCGTCCATGGCCATGTGTTCGGTCCCGTTCCGTTCGCTGACGCCTCGCCGTGTCGCGCAGTCGCGCCAAGTCGCGCAGTCTGGCCGTGCTGCGTGACTGGCGCCGCCTGAGCCGGCAGCCGTGCCGCTTCTACTGCCGCGTCGGCCGCTGCATCCGCCACGAGCGCCAGCAGTGCCCGCACGTGCACGACCCGGCGCTGCGGCCCGTCTGCACGCGCCACCTGCAGGGCGGCTGTCGCGTGCCGCGCTGCGCCTACAACCACAGTCCGCGGCCCGAGAAGCTGCCCATGTGCCTGCACTTCCTGGCGGACGAGTGCCGCCGCGACCCGTGCCCCTACCAGCACGTGTACGTCGACCCGGACGCGCCGCTCTGCGCCCCCTTCCTGGCCGGCTACTGCGCCCGTGGACAGCAGGTGTGTAGCATCGACAGCGCGGCGAGGTGGTGCGGTCTGGTCTGGTCTGGTCTGGTCTGGTCTGGTCTGGTCCGGTCCGGTCCGGTCCGGTCCGGTCTGATCTGATCCGATCCGGTCCGGTCCGCCAGACATGGGTGTTCCCGGTGGCGCGTGTTGTGGATGTCGTGCCGTATGACTTGCTCCACGTGGCCGGACACTGTCGTTCCTATTTGGTTCATATTCATCTTTTGGAAGACTGCTGTCATGCGTGCTTTTGTGTTAGCTTGGTTTGTAGCTGTGTTTGCCGAAGACAGCCGCGAAGCCGCCGTGGTGGCGCCGTTGTGAGACTTCCGTGGGTGCCGCCCTGCGGTTTGTCGTGACCGGACGCCGTGAGCGTGCGGTCGCGCCGGGCGACCTGGCGGACTCCGCTCGCTGTGACGCCATTGCCGCTCCGTTGCAGTGTTCCGAGAAGCACCTGTATATTTGCCCCGAGTTCGGGGAGGGCCGGCCGTGTCCACGCGGCGCTGCCTGTCCGCTGGCGCACCGGACGCGCCGCCGCCGCCGTCGTCGCTCGGTCGGCGCCGCCGCCTCTGCCGTGGCGCCGCCCCGCGGCCGCGGCCGCTACTACCTGGACCGGGACGTGGCGCGGCCGGCCGGGCCGTCGTCGGCCGCGCCCGACTCGGGCGACGCCGGGCCGCGACCGGCCATGGCCGAGATGCCGTCCTTCATCGCCATCGACGACCAAAGCAGCGGCGACGAGGCCTGAGCACGACGGCTGGAGAGAGCGGCGGGGCCCGGCGAGTCGTCCGAGTCCCGGCCGGAGGCGGCCGGCCGATGGGGAACAGAACTGCTCGTGGAAGCTCGCGTACTCCACGTCGTGTCGTGTGTCGGTGTTGCGGTACGCAATAATGTTATCGCGCAGTGCTAGCATAGTCCGGGGTCGACTTGAGGTCCACCTAGGTGATATTAGATTGTCGACTAACATTGAAAGAGTTATTGACCCTGTTTGGTTTTGAACAGTCATAAGCCTGTCAGGATTGACATGTGCACTTGAAGGCTATCATTCTTTACACCCATTGGGTGTCCAGAGACACCTTGATTTGTCATCGTTCAGCTTAAGAACAGCTCCCTAAAAGTGACCCACGAGCCTCCAGGAATACTGTCGTAGATCGGTTGTGCGACATGACCGCGAACCAAATTTTCGCTATAGAGCGTGCTGGAGTAAAGAGTGTCATCGGTCGTGTGGTTTGCCGTCTGTCAATGGTCCCAATAAGGCCCCGCGGGGCCCTTGTCCACCCGATTTGCCGGACGGGCCCATACCTCTGCCTCTCGGCCGTCGATGGGCCAATGGTGCCTAAAGGTCTGCATCTGGGGATGCCGTGTCCCCAGCTATGTTTGTGTGCCTTGCATGAGCCTGATTCACTGGAAAAGCCACTAGAAAGCCTCAAATGTCGGCGGCAAAATATGGCGGTCTTATGAAGGGTGACTTATTGCGTCAATCATGTGGTTTAGTAAACCCGTTTAGTGCCAGTGAATGCAATGGTTTCTAGCGTAGTCAGCAGCAGCGCACGAGCTGCGGCACTTGCGGATCTGCCTTCAGGAATTGTGACGGCATGTTGCCTATGTGCGTAACTGAATACAAATTTTACATAAATATCGCTTACAAATGCGTACCGTTTCGCTTTGCCATACTGACTTAGCAAAGCTAAGAAGCTGAATTGCTAGAAAGATATAACGGTACCTGTCGCGTTCCATGGACGACTTAGGTCTCATTTTTAGATGAATTCAACAATACTGATGGGATTTCCTGGCCAATCCGGCGCCTGGTCGCGATATTCTCGCCGTAGCTGGTGCACCAGGCTTTGAGTGGCCGGTCGCATACAACAATGCACTGCGGAGTAGTCATTCAAACTTCTTCGCGGTAGCCAGGCCCAATGCTTGAATGCGTTGCAAAAGCCCGAAGTCAATGCGCATGATACCAATCGCCGAGCTCGCTGATATGTGTTTTAAAACGCTATGGTACAATGCCCTCCCGCCCAGAGCGTCATTCCGCCTTCAAGTAATGCGCCACATCGGTTGACGTGAAAAGAGAGTGAGCGTCAGCGCCCGGGCTCGGCGTGTGAGTGTTGTGCGATACCCCCTGGTCAGTGTTATTAAATGCACACGGTCCCCACTCCCCGCGCACGGCTAGATCTGTTTTAAGACGCTGCCGTGCTTTGTGCATCACGCATCGTGCTTGCCTCTTATAAGTAAAAGTGGTCAGGGTCTTGATGTCGAAGAAAGCACGCCAGCAGCTGCGGGACCCCTGTTTGGATGTTGTGCAAAGGTCCTGGTGCAGCGCTCTCAAAGACGTACGTTTCCATGAGGCAGGTTCAATTAGAAATATTTTCAAACTTTGCCGTTCATTAAACCTGTGCGGAGAGGAGTGCCTTCCGCCTTTGAATAGGGGAGCGTGAGGTGAGGCGAGTTGAGCTGGCTCTGTTGTCATACCATGATAGATCCCAGCTTCCACGCCCAGTAACTGACAGTCGTAGGATAGCCCGGAGCCAGTGCTATCAAACACGGTCGGTCTTTTTCTCCGCGCAAACTTTTAGCTATATCTATAACAGTGACATCATTTGCGCAGCTTGCCCCGAGAGGGAGTCAGTGGTCCTAATTTGCCGTGACGGGATTATATCACGTAGACGTTGGCGGCCCGGGCTCCTCGCCATGTTCAGTTTAAACTCCAGTGTTTGGATGTGGTGCGACAGTGCTGAAACCATGCTCTGGTTCGCACTTTTCCTTTCGCCGAGCCCAATTATCAATGCTGTTTTTCTATCTAATCTGCATTTCACGCACAGAACGGCTTTCCTTCTTTCAGTACCAGGCCGTGAAGCGGTATATCTAACACAGTTGAATGCCGGCGTACGGGTCCGAGCACTGGGCCCCGTACATGAAATCAGAGCCAGTGCTATTAAACGCAGACAGACCACTCCTTGCGCATTTAGAAACAGCTCCAAAAACCTGCCGTAATTCGTAGAATGCGCACAGAGCGAACCGAATGCATTTAATACCAAGCAGGGAGGGGTTCATCTGGAACAAGTAGGAACAGCCGGCCGGGACAACTGCTGTGTGTTAGCTCCAAAGCCGCGTTATCAACTGTGCGGGACTGCGCACGTCGAGCTTGTTTAAAATGGTTTTTCAAAAGTCGCAACAATTCCTGAACTGGGAATGAGGCCAAAAATGTCACTGGGGCAATCAATGCCGTAATTTCGTCTCCGTGCGCCGGGCGTACGCCCACATTGCTGTTTGCTGCAAGGATGTCATATAACACAAACAGCTGCCGCAGACCGAGCGCGACGTGAGGGTTCCAGTTAATAGCTGTCAGCCGGTGCAACCCAATGAGTGACGGTCCCACCCTCGGGCATGACTAGAATTCGCCTCTAAAACGCTGCCGCGGTTTCGTCTCGTCAGGCGCCGACTGTCCACACGCATTTGGCATTTC